AAGGGAACATAGTTGGTAGGCGGGGGGGGGCGGCTAGTAGTAGTAGTAGTAGTAGTAGTAGTGACAGCCATTGTAGGAGTAGTAGTGGCTAATGAAAAATAATGGAAAACATGTAAATTATAAACTATGAAAAATCATGAAAATAATGAAAAGTGAACAAAATTCATGAAGAATGACAATCTATGAACCATGAAACGTAGTAATAAGAAATGATGAAAAAGGAATGATAAACAAGATGCGTGATGAACATGATGCGAAAACATGGAAATAATGACAACAATTGAAAAAGATGAAAATGATGAAAAATCAGGAAAACCATGCAAATTTTGAAAAAAAAAAACAATGTAAATAATTAACAATGATGAAATTCATGACGACATTGAAATATGACAAGTATGAAAGTAAAAATAATGAGAAATGATGGAACATGATGAATGAAGAAACATGGTGAAATTATGAGAAAATCATGAGAATAATTATGAATGATGAAAATGGTGACCCATGATGAAACATGATGAACCCTGATGAAATTCATGAAAAAATCATGAAAATCATGAAAACATCGAAAAAGTAACGAAACATGTGAGGAAAACAATTAACATGACGAATAGATAAAGAGGAAACTGATGAAAAGTCATGCTGGTATGATGACAAGAGCTTGCGTGAATGTGCTTTGTAAAATAACAGCGGGGGGGGGGATTGGGGGGGGGCGCAGCCCCCCCGAATTGCAAAACCTGGACAAAGATTCGGATACAGTATCTCAGTATGTGCTTTCTTCCGCTACCTTGATTTGGCAATGTGATGTGATTCATGATGCGAAGTGGATGAACATGACCAACAGGGATGGGAATGATGAAGCTGTATGAAGCTCAATGAAACATGCTGAACAATACTGACAAATCATGAAAAATGATTCAAGATTCTGAGAAACGATGAAACATGACGGAAACTGATGAAACAAGCATGGAAATCCTGAAAAGAATAAGACAAACCGTGAAAACTAGTAAGACGTCATCACGATGCTAACATGAAAAACAATAACGAACTTATGAAAAATGAAAACTAAAGACAAATCATGCAAGACCATGAAACACAATGAAAAAGTAACGAAAAATCATGTACATGAAGGAACAACCCTGCAAAACGATGAAAATATTGAACACCTAAAAGAAAATCATGGAATGTCAATGAATGTCATGACTGATCATGAATATGATCCAAAATGATAAGATTTATGAAAATTGTTCAAGCTTGATGAGCAATCCTTCCTTCCTTCCTAATGTCCTTTTGCAATGTTGTAGCCCCAACAGTTAAAAGAAGTAGTCCGGATAAGATACGGTAATAACAATAATAATGGCAATGAAAGCAGCTGTAATCATAACATTGAAAGATACAAATGACAGTGAAATAATACTCTAATGTAATACTAGTACGGGTAACAGTGATACTCGCATATAAAGAGCTCCTAGTATGGTACTAGTAAGTCTTGTAAAAATGATGAGAATATGATTTACTACCATTGACGCTCTGGCTTCTTTCCTTCCATCCTGCTTCTTTCCTTTCTCGCCTCCCTCCTTCCTTCCTTCCTTCCTTCCTTGCTTCCTTCCTTCCTTCTCTCGTTCCTGCCAGGGTACAGGGTCGAAACCCAAGCATCAAAAACCAACATTCCGAATTGGTGTACTCCCCAGGAAATAAGCAACAAGCCTTTTTTTGATGCTTGATTTTTTTGATGCTTTCAAAATTGTTTTCGATGCTTATATATTTTCTAGACCCCTATCCCATAGGGGTGAGGGACCAGACATTATCTAAGCAACTGTTGACAGCATTCCTGCCAGGCATCGAGGAGATCTCTCTTGAAGAGGGCTCATGTTCGCGGAAGTTGGTCTGCAAGAGAACTTGTGCAGTATGCAAGTGTGGCGTTAGGTAGGATACCACGCAACTTGTTGCTGCCAAAGTCATTTCAGACTCCCTTGCCTCCAACAGCCCTCATTCAACCTTAAGCTACAGCGAAATCTTGAGAAGCTGCCGAGCTTGCTCACAGGCATGATGGAACTTGAAGGAGAAAGCAAGACCAGGGCCACTCTGAACTCCGGCCTGTGCTTTTTTGTGTTCGACGGATGTTTTGGTTGTGTATGGTGATTCTTCTTTCTGACAAGCGCACACGCACTCTGGCTCTGGAATGAAAGAATGCCCGCTGGCAAGCTTGAGCTGATGATCTGCCAGTATGATTACGAAGCTTTCTCATCCGTTTGCTGTGCAGGTCGATCGGGGTGCGAGAAGCGGCGAGTATGTTTTCACGCGTTTTCAGCCAGACTGAAAATAAATCCAGAGATGCGGCAAGCTTCTTGGGATCTCTTGGGCTTTGCGGTCTTGCCTGATTCATAGAACTATGCAAGAAGTTTCGCTGACCCAAGATATGCGAAGATATGCCTTCATACACCTGCATCAACTGCTGGCAGCTTCCGACCCTATTTCCTGAAGTGAACGCGCGTGAAGCCAAGCGATGATTCTTTGTCAAAGCTGGCGGCAACACCTGTCAAACTTCTAATCGCTGTGGGTCGCAGGGCATGCAGACGCGCGTTCAGCTGTGGTCCCCGCTGGGTCCAATGGACCAAACTAAAATTCTTAATAGGCATGCTTTGCGACCCTTCAATCAGAATTGAAGGTCCTGCACATGTAAGCCTAATCCTAATCCACGGGGCGAGCAGACTCCTTGGACTCATCTTTGGCGTCCTGCGGCAACATCGGAATCGTACTTTCGGGATCCAAGGATTGCAGAAGATGTTGTGAGCCTTGTCCAAGCCTAGAAGCTCATTTATCAGCCTGCGCACTGCGCAGAAGCGACAAGCATCTCATCAAGAAGCATAAGTCATGGCTGGAATCGCAACCCCGGGCATCAAGCCATGGAAGAGCTTGCAGGTTCTTGGTGCCTCGTTGCCACTGTGCTCACCTTGTCAGACCAGCAATTCCCAGTACATTGCTAGTGTTAGTGCTTACTTTTGCGAGATGTAAGTTTGCTTCTGGACAGCTTCTGGCATCACTAAAGCAAAACGGGAGGGCCGCACTCTCTCTTTGTTGCTCCCCGTGGCTTCCCATATATCACGATGCAAAATACAGTACAGGGTAACGTTGGTGCTGCGACATGCCTGATCCCATTTCTGGCTCAAATGAAGGTTACGACGTGCTGCAGTCTGAAACGAATCTTACGATACCCAAGCAAACCCAAGCTTCTCTGGTGGCACAGCGTGTTTTGTCAATGAAACGAAGTGAGCGATAGCAGTATCGTCACGACTAACATACACAGGCTGACAAAGCAAGAAATCTCAAGAACCAGTGGATGGTTCAGACAGTACACCAAACACCTGAGGGATCCTGAGGCCAAAGTTTGTGTGTAACGTAGGTTTGTGCCTTGCCAGGAACCCTGCACAATGACCCTCTTACTGTTTGCATGAGCGATGACAGGCCCAGTGGCCAGTACCGCAACCACTGCAAAAGCGACAGACTCGACCAGCACAATTTGCTGTGCCTCCAAGCGGAGATGAGCTCAGAGGCCGGCAGAGGCGAGAGAGGAAATTCTGATCGAGCCTGCGACTGCACAGCGCTACCGTCATTGCCGACCGAAGTCAGCAGCAGCATCCCAAAGGACCTGCAGAAGCAGCAAGTAAGGACATTCAGCGAGCGGTTCCGAAAATTAAAACACAGCAGCGCGAAGGTAGGAGAATCTATGCGCACGGAAATCAGCTGGGGGCTGGACGCATCCAGGAATGCCTGCTTGGCTCTGCAGAATGACCGACGGGATCAATGGCACTTCAGCAAATGTCACACAAAATCTCATCTCTGAATTGAAGAGTCCCAGAATGGCCCAGAGACTCTCTGTTCTCCTCCCACTCAGGCACTTGCCATGCGAAAACTTGTCCCTGGAGCCTTGCCTTCCTTTGCTGGCTTTGCTTGCTTGGTACCCACCTCCCTTCTCTTCCCCTCCGAAGGGCGCCGTCTTCAAGCAGCCAGCGAAGTGGGCAACGGCAAACTCGCCCAGCCCCACATCAAGGGCGCCCAACAAATACCTGGGCGTTCTGGTTACAAACAGAGCTTCAAGCTATACAGCACATCACTTTGTCGCGAAAGCGTGGCAAAGGTTTTTTGTGGAGGTGCCCTTCGAATAGGGGGACGTGATGGTGGTGTTAGAAGTCTGGTGTGAAGACGATGTAGAAAAGATGGATGTGAGGAAAGGTTGTCGTGAGGTTTGGAATGTAGGATGGCGTGAGGTACAAGGTGTAGGATTATGCGATGCTGGTCTGATGGAAGGTTGCCGTGAGGTCCCGGATTGAAGTCGTCGTCAAGTGTTGGATGGATGAAGGTTTTGGCTCCTGGACGGTCTTCTTGAGGCATCGAGTCTGCATGGTCTGTCTCTTACTAAACTTGGGGGAGAGGGACTTGGACGAAAGCTAGAGCAGGATCTGGGATTGAGATTTTCACTTTAAGGACGATCATGAAGGTCTGCAGGACTGTAGTCTAGAGCAGTCAAATAGAAATCGAACTCTCATATCAACGATAAAGAAGTACTACTTGGAATGAGGAAGGCTACAGGACACAGGCTCGTGATTGACACCATAACGTGTGGCACTCGAATGGTATGCATCGTAACTGTAGGTGTATACAGTTTTTGCATATGACTCTATTTACACGATCTGATCTAGTGCTTTCCAATAGTCTGGTATACTCTGGTAGATACAGTATGTACTTATGCTCGAACACAAGGCGGCTTGGACGAAGACTATGTCCAGTGTTCATGCCATGGGTCGACCATGTATTCTTTTGCCTGAGAGGCACTCATGACGTGTACTTTCACACCCCTTTGTCCTTTCTTTTAAGAAAAAGAGGTGTTCTTTACGTGCTCTTTAAGCGTCGGATACAGTGTTCTTTACGTGTTCTTGAAGGGTTGGAAGGAACTCCAGGCGTGACGCACGAAACCATTCCTGGCCTGCTGTCTGGCTGAAAAAAAATCCCGGATTGTTGACCACGCACCAAGGGGTCCCCCCATACCCTTGTTGCAAGCTAACGCTTGGTAAGAAACTCAAGCTAGACCCGCAGGATAGCTTTCGTGACTTAATGGCATTTAATGGTATGAACGGCGGGAGCTGCCGCACCTCGTTAAGATTGCATTGGTGCGTGGAGCGTCCTCGGAATTTTGCGCGCAAGTGACGAATGTTTCAGGGTCCTGGCGTGTCAGGTCACTGGCGCGTCAAGCGTCCTCGCAACGTTGCGCGCTAATCAAGAATTTTGAGAATTCGGCATGCAAGTGACGACTGTTTCGGTCACCGGCGTGGCGGGTCGCTGGCACGTGAAACGTTCACATGTCTGTAATGCAGATAACAGTTTACAGTGTAAAATCTCGCACGTTTATCTGTCTGCAGACAGGCTGCCAGTAAGAGTCAAAAGGCAAGGGCAGGACAGGTGCCAGTCTAAGCAGCAACGTCAACCGCGCACCATCTTCCTGCAAGTGGAAAATCGTGGTGACCTTCACGGAAGTTCACGTGACTGCAGGCATGGCCCCGGTCCTGCGCAGCCCGTTCCAGGGAGTGGAACCAGGAGGCCTCACAACTCAACATGAGTTTGATTGCATTGGGCCAAATCGCAGGCGGCCTTCCCCACCGGCTCGCTGCCGAACACGGAGAAGCCCCGCAGCCCATCCTCGCAAATGGAGACAGTGCGAGCCAGCAAAGCCTCAAAGAGAACGTGGCTATTCCCTGGCATCCACACGGTCCGCCAAAAATGATCGGCCAATGAGGAAGTTGGAGGCAGCGGCCAAGGTTTCCGTTGCTGCTGAGGCAATTGCACCCTGCACTAGGCCTGCCGCTAAAGCTGAGACAGCAAGGAAGGCCTATGATGCAAGACGGCCATGTTGCTTGCCTCCAAAGATAATGGGCGCCATCGTTTTCAGCGCAATTTGGATGGGCAGGAACTCTGTCAACATGAACCTCAGCTCAGCTTGAAATCCTCTTCTAGCATGGAGCAAGTATCCAGCTAAAGCTATCAATGCCCTGGCCAAGAAAACATCCACATGCATCAGTGAACATCAACATGACCTGTCAAATCCCGAAAGCAGTCTGTTAGGGGATGACGTAGCAGTTCGTCCTACGGTCTGAGGCGCAAACATCGAAAGCAACAACAGACCAAGCACACACACCACAGGGAATCTGAAGTAGTTTAGGCAGCCATCTAAGACTCAGCACCACAACTGGGGGGCTGGGTTGGAAAAGCATGATCAGTAGGTCTAGCGCGGTGGGTCGCTTTTGCACGGACAAGGCAATCTTCCTCCCACAACGAAGCCAATCATTATCTAGCATGATACTGGCACCAGGCGGCAAAGCGGGTAAGCTCCCGCAGGTTCTGCACTCCAAATAGCATATTTCATTGCACATTCCTCTTTCAAACACACCACATGTTATCCTCGACCAGATATCAAGGAAAGGTACAGCTTTTCAGCCACGAACGCCAGCACATACAGCCCAACCTTCGTCGCTGTGTCATAGGCAGCAATTGACTGCAGAATACCCATCCTCGGCACGGAGATGCTGCATACAAGGTTGATCTAGTACACATTCAATACTAGAATCTAGTTGGTGCAGGTCAAGACAGTCAAGCAGGTGGATCCGAATTGTTTTCCCTCAAAGTCTTGCGAGCAAGTAGTAGGCCAGCCCGTGGCAGAAACGAATGAGGGCTCACTTTGGGCATTTCTTGTGGAGTCCTCATCTCCGCAAACAAAAACCCAAGCACCATTGATCATGGCATTCCTGGTGGGTGTGGGCCAAGCACTCTGACACGCAGGCCGGGCTACGGCTGTGACAATCCTCTCCAGCTTTTCTGCAGGCCTTTTTGATGCAGCAGACTCTCTGAATCTCTATGAAGGTGAAAGATATCAAGTAATCATAACCAGGCACAGCTTGCATGCTTCACCCACAACCCTCCCAGTTGACCAACAAGGATAGCGGCTACGTCGGCTAGGTCGTACCAGACCAACTTTAACTCTATAAACCTTTTGACCTGTCTGCAGAGTCTGCAGGTGTAGCCCCTCATCTCGTGGACGAAGAGGCGGCGCAGCGACTTGATTTTTTTCGGCCTTCCCCGAGCAGCTCCGCCACCATAGCGTCCAAACGGCGGCTTGGCATCTATTGCAGGCGTTCCTAATCAGGAGCTCGGCTAACTGCCAATAAATGGACAAAAAATGGCTTGGCATCTTTGCTGATGTGGACCATAGAAGACTAAGGTTGCTCCACTCAGGCAGGGCGTGCATGTGTAGCACCTCCAGTTCGATGACCACGCCACAAATTTATTGCAGCAGCATGTTCAGCTTGAAATTGCCGCTCTCAAAATCCAACGTTCGCACAGAGCGCATGCATTTTTGATTGTTCGTTCGCAGGATTGCAGAACTTGTGGCATCCCATGATTCGAATGCCATCTTGTGACCAGATCTGCCAAATCTGCTCGGAACGTGCCTTCGTGCAAGAGTTGGATATCGTTGCATCCCGCATCAGCCAGTCTACACATCTCCGCATCGGAGGAATACGCTTGAGCCAACAAGAACCAGGAGTGGCTCATGAATTTTGAACATACAACAACCAACACGAGCTGCCATCTTCTGCAACAACCCTTTGTGCTTCCGAAGTGCAAGGATGCGCGATCAGGGACCTTAAGCCACTGGTGTACATTACACTTCATTGAAAACATCTCTCGCTCACAAGAAGCTTGACCAGGTTTGTGCTGGTAGTTGAAACTTTGAAGCAGCTCTTTGACAGCCAAGCCACACCCAAAGGCTGCACAGCCTCTCGCTCAATACTACTCCAAACACGCAGAATCTTGCTCTCATGCCATGCATGTCAGGCCTCGAAAAACTCATCCAAATTATCAGCTGCCAGCAACCGCGGCGCAACCACGCGCACCTGGGAGGGTTGTGGCTGTTGTGGCTGTTGTGGCTGTGGCATCCGTGGCAGCTGCGCAGACTGCCCCCAAGTTCTCACAACAGCTCCCAAGTGCAAGTACGCTACAAACACTGCCAGCAAGGCGAGGTTGGCGTAGACCTAAGACAGATAGCTGTGCTTTGGGCTGATGGTCGAGATTCTGCGGGCCAGGAAAGCTTTCAAGCAGCTTTGGGTACACTATCCCCGCCTATGAGGCCAGCCATGACATGTGTTGTGCTAGTCTGAGAGCCTGCAGATCTACAGGCTAAACATGTCTTCACAGGGCCATCCGAAGTGAGGAAGCACCAGAAATTCCTAGGACAGCTCCGAGGGGCCGCAGTGCTGGAGAGTCCGCGCTTGACCGGGGCCTTGTCAAAGACACTGGTGAAGCGCATCCTGCGAGGTGAGCCGGTGAGCCAGTGCCAGTGATCGGACAGCAAACAGCAAACAGCGCAAGCAGCGTGTGTTGAGGCTTGTCGGTCCGGTAGTATGCGAGTGTGACGGCCGGCAAGAGTTCTAGCAGCTTGGAGAGGTCCTTGCAGCGCACCGAGGACACTACCTAGACCTTGAAGAGCTTTGGAAGGTAAATCTGCGCCTCACGGGTCTGTGTCTTTGCCACGCCAGTCTGGGCGTTGGCTTTAAGAGCAGTGGCGTTCCTGGGCGCTGTGCCGAGCATGCAGTATGTGTGGTTGGTGGGGATTTTGCAGAAAAAGCCTCTCCCTGGTCTTGTTTAGTTGGTGGGCGTGTCATTTGCGACCAGCCTAGCAGTGAAAGCAGCGCCTCCATTCACTGCCAAGTTGCACCTTCTGCAACAACTGTGAAAGCTCGACAGCCTTGCGCCAACACGTAGCATTTTAGTTTGCAGCAAGACTGTCTGCTCACTTTCCCCACGCCAGCCTCAGACCGCTTGTCCTCTTGCAAGCTGGGAGCATTCCAGATCTCGAGCGCCTTGAGGTGCAATTCGGTCCAACAGGTCTTCGGCTTGTGCATGATTGTACCTGTCTCTGGGCAGCCCAGGATCTTCCCAAAACTCGTATGTCTCATTCCACCAGCGCCCAACAGCCTGTCAAGCTTGGTGCGATTTTGCTTCAGAAAGTGAGGGGACCGTTCTTTCCTGCAGTCAAGGCCTCTCCAGGGTTGACAACCGCTGCGTCAGCTGCACGTCGCGCAACCCGTGGCGTCCGCGCACTGAAGAAGCCGGCTATGGATCAGTCCAAACAGCTCCAAAAAGCTCTGAACGCACAGCTAGAATCGACTTTTTTAGGAACGCGGGCACTTGCAAACGATAAGTTTACTGACAACGTCGCCTGGGACCAAGCCATGCCACTGCCAGGGGAGCCAAGGCCACCAGTACTGCAATTGAGCGCAAGCGCCGAAGGCGGCGGGCCATGCAGAGCTATCAGAGCTCTGCCAATGGTCTGAGAGTGGGGTCAACATTCGTTGGAAAATGTTGGAAGCTCGAGAACTGGTCTCGATTCTCTACATTGCTGAACACTCCAAGGCCTGTGGAAGATTTTGTTTCTACAGGCAAGCTGCGTTGAGCCTGCACGGCACAGAAAAAGCTTGCAAACTCGGAGCCGGTTGCCGAGCCAAACGAATCGAAAACCTGAATAGCCTACCCTGAACCTAAACAAAACCGCACATGGAACCAGCCTTTGCATCGGACAGCACATTTTCCGGTCACAAGCTCAGGCTGTCTTTCGCCGCCTGGCAAGAACCCAAACTGAAGAACTCTCAAGAAGTGTGTGTTTCGTGTCAGAAGATGGCCTGTCTAAGCTGGGTGGAGACGGTCTTCGCGGCGCGAGGAATTGGAAATGACCCTGTGACGCCTGGCCGAGCACGCGTAGCCCGCCGCACAACCCTGAGAATCCACTTCACACGTTCCCATGAGCGCGCGTTTGTGTAACAGGATAAGCTCTGAATATGCTGTTGCTGCAGAGATTCGGAGGTTGTGATGTCAAGTTTTTCTTTCAAGGAGGAGGTGAAGTGCTTCTTGGAAATCAGGAACGACCACCTGGCTAATTTCCCCCATACTTTCCGGGCTGCTCCCAACAAGTCTTGATAGCTGCCTCAAGTCAAAACTGGCCACAGGGTGTGAAGCCATTCTCACAAGCACTACAGCTATGCCCAAAGTAGAAATGCTCACAGCAATTGAGGACTGCGACCTCTTCTTTTATGAGAGGAGTCTTCACAACTGAGGGATTTTGCGTGGCACTCTCTGCAGCGCTGACTGCCCCATCGGGGATTGAACGCTCGCGGCAGCTCCTCTATGGCTCCCAGTCGTATCAACAAGAGCAGCAGTGGTGGGATACTTGCGTCAAAAACAAGTCAGGGTCCCTATTAGCAGATACCAGGCAAGACACGGGGTGTGCCGCCACTCTTGCACAAACCATCCACAGAATTTTCCACAAAACGATGCGCTGTCAACTGGAGCTATGCGGAGGCTGTTTAATATGAGGGATTCAATCTTGAAAAAAACTCTTGATACTCAATTATGATCTGGATGTTGATAAGTTCGTTTGATTGTCTTCCTTTCGAAGAAATGGGTGATCAAAATTCGAGATTCTTTTTCCATCCGAAGAGACAACTGGCAGATCTCAAGCTAGAATAATTACAAGGCAAGACATTGCAGGGTTTCAGCTGCGCTGATGGGCCAAACATCCGTACCCAGCAGCTTTGCACTGAAGCGGGCTTGTAGGGGAGCTCGCCTCAGCAGGGCTCTCCTGGCGAATCCACTCATCCACACCTCACAGGAGCAGAAACAGACCAGATCTTTGCTATGACGCCTCGAGGACTGCCCAGGCGCAAGCCAAAAGCAGTTGTAAAGTAAGAGAAGTAGAAAGCAATGTAAGACACAAATTCTCTGCCTCAACCAAGCTGGACACGTTTCTATGCGGAAACCTACTGAAATGCATACTACCTGGAATGTGCCGCCGCTAGCCTTGTGGTGGAGGAACACGATCCGCTCCCTCATGAGTGGCTGAATTGGCAATGCATGCGGAGTCCATGACAACATGATCCAACCTCCTTGAAAGGAGCCAAGTCATGACTATGTTGCGACTGCGTGCGTTGTGACGGCCTCAAGGGGCTTTGCAGGAGAAGCGTCTTCCTCCTGGCGCAGGCAGGAAGTCACCCGAGAGCTGGTGCAACAGACGATGCAAGTGTTGGCTTTCGCGGCTTGCGCAAGTCCTGCCCTGAAAAGTCGGAGCTCTCCGCAAGGCTGGGCTGCGCAGGGAGACAGAATGTGATTGGACCAAGGACTGCTTGGGGGTTTGAGGGGGAAGTCATGGCGGGGAACACGTGGCTGAAAATCATGTTCAGTGGCAGACACCCAAAGTTACTACCCCTCCGGCAGGCTGTTCATCATACCTGCCTCCAAGTCATCGTAGATGTCCTCTACATTCTCCCAATGTTCCTGTCAGCGAATACAGGTGCTCTTTTGGCTTGCATAAACATCTTGAAGCTTGCAGGGTCTGCATGCCATCACAATCTGTGTGCCAGTGCTGTGGCCCATCCAGAGTCCCCACACGCCCCCTGCGTGTGCAACCCTGGAAACTGAGCCCGTCGTGCCTTTGTTCAGCCCTCCATTTAACGAGAGTCGCAACGACAAAACGTAGATGTAAAGTGACCTTGTCTGGTCTCATCTCTCAATTTCCGTCCTCTGGCCCAAAGGCTTTCTCGGAGTGAAACCCCACGTTTGGGCTTGCTCCAGCTGGACTCGCATGAAGTCTCATGCTTCATGATTTCCACTTGGAGCTCCGTCCGTTTCTCGTCATGTATGCTGCAAACATACAGCGTCATCACAGCATGCTGATAAATCAGCGTCTTCATGGAAAGTTGATGAAGATGCAATATGTCCAGTGGCCCCTTCAAAGGCTCACCCCTCTTCACATGAAGCGGCCATTGCGCCATCCCCACCCACAATGATGCCAAGGCTCCATGACCCGCTTGTGCTTGTGCACTTTGGCAGAGGCTGGCCTGGTGCTGAACGTGTTGTTACGGTGGGCAACGCATGGCAGTCATCGCATGGCAACATCCGCTCCTCCAGGCGCGGTGGTGTCGCACAGCCTCGGGAGCAGACTTCGCATTGCAACAAGTGACGGAGCGACAGGTAAGGCTGCATGCCTGGGACGGCACATCGGTGGCCACACCGATAGGGCGCTCAGTTTCCGGTGCCTGCGATGTGCCAGCTTCTCTGCTTTGACGGTACTTCTTCACTCAGGGCCTGAGCATCAGCGGAGCTGCTGGGAGCGCTGATTTCTCGGTCCATATGAGGGCCCTCCAGCCATGCAAGCTCAGTGTGCAAAGCACTGGGTCGTGGGATGTTCTATTCAAGCCTACCTCAACATCTTCGTAGATGATGTCTTCTTCCGGCTCCTCAGCAGCAGCAAACAAACGGATAGTTTCCAACAGAAAGCCGTGTGGTGCTTAATGTGAAGGTCCACGCAAGTACCATCAGCCATGACCATCAGCTCAGTGTAGGCCACCCGTTCAGAAGTCTCTTGAGAAGACAAGCCGCAGCCACGCGCTTGTGCTTGTGGATCTTTGCCGACGCCGGCCTCCCATCCCAATACAATAGCAAGGAGCAAGCTGCCATCATTGGCCAGACCCTCTCTGCCTGCGAGCTCGTTGGCGAGCCTGATGGTGAACTGCCTGAGGCTGAGGATGCGGTGTTGGGTGCGGCGCTGGCGGCGCCTGCAAAACACATCAAATTCCGTATGTTTCATCATGTTCCCGTACTCGAGGTCAACCAACTTGCCTTCGCCTTCACCTTTGCTTCCGTCTGCTCAGGGGGTGCTGCGCATGGAGGAGCAACACGGTAAGGCAGGTTGGCCTGGCAGCTGTTTCTTTGTCATCATCACTCTTAACTCTGGCGTCGCCCACATGACGCGCAGCGACGTGCCCCGGAGCAAGCCGGAGTGCAATCTGCAAAGTTCCGCATGCTTGGCGCTCCTTTTCACGTTCTTCCAGAGGCCGCCGGAGGCGGAGACCTGTGCTCAGGAAGAGCTTTGTGGAAACATGACAAAGCATGCGATCAGCCATCTTTCGCATGGGACAGTATTGGATGGCCATCAGGTTCTCCAGCCTCCAGTTGGAACAGAACACCGGGTCGAGCTTGGCCTGTAGCGACAGACATGTCTCTCGAAAATCTCGTGATTGCAAGGCGATTATTTTGTTTGGGAAGCCAAAGCAAGATTCTCCAGGCGCCCTCCTGGCTCAACACCTAGTTTTCCAGACCCTGGATGCTGAACCGGGCTGAAGACCCTGTCAAAGCTCTGATCACCACCCAGACAATTCAACCGAAAAAAACAGGTGCTCTCATGGCCCGCCTCTCGCTTGAGTCATTGAAGAAGGAGCCCTGCAGCCGAAACTGTATCAATCACACGGTAACGGCATGATGAGTCTTACACGCGCGCCCTGCCACCATACCTCATAGCCTCATCACGATTGAAGGATAATGGATTCACCCAGCCTCGGGGGACACGTCCGATACGCTCCATCCTCAGAAGTGGGAGATTTGATCAACTGGGTTGGATATGGTTGGATCTTCGCTCTGGTGATCTCAGGCAGCAACTTGGAACAGGACCAGACGAAGTCGAGCGAGCCGCACCTGATGCATCGGTTTCTCTGGATTCTGTGCTCTGGGCAAACCACATTAAACGTCTGAGTGCCCTGGCTCCGCGACGCTGAAAAGGGCCTGACAGCCAGAAACGGCACGAGCCAGCGGGCACATCTGCTTCTAGCACAGCCTGGAAGAAGCCCGAGGACCACGAGAGCCCCCTGCGCCTCATGGGCTGAAAGGACCAAGAGCTCGTGAACTCCTATCACCAGCGCAAATCAAATTTCCGCTTGCCTCGGCGAGCGCTGCTGCTGCGAGGCTTTGGCGCGTAGGCTGGATAGCCCTAGAGAACGCTACTGTACGTGGCATGCTTGGCCCAACAGAGCTCACACTCATTAAGCAAACGTTTTGACTTGGCTTCCAGACTGCTTGGCGCGGCTGAGAGGAGGAACTGGAGGAAACCTCAAGGCAAGGCATGTTGCACTGGCGCACAGGTAAAGCTCACGCGCATAAAGATTCTCCTCCTTTTAGCTTTCTGCCAAGCGGCCACAGACTTCGGCACCAACAGCTTGTCACGGATCCACTCCTTCCAAGCTGTCAAAGGAAAATGAAGTAAAACGAATAACAGGGAGCAATCCGAAAGCTCAGCAGGATCAAAGACTACAGAAGCTTGAAGACATCTCTGTTTTTCCTGCCTACTTGTACCCCTGTTTAGGGAGAGTCCGAAGTGTGTATGTTTGGCTTGTCTGGTATCCTTGGTCAGCGGCTCGGCACTCGGATGCGGAGACGCCTAGGCTAGGGTCAGTTCACAGTTTGCTTTTCGAGTCTCCGGTTGGCCTTGTAGGAAAGAATCTCAATCAGCTCCTGTCAGCTGTCAGAGAGGCTGCATAGATTGGGAGTACGGCTGCAAGGCCTTGTCAGGAACTGGTGGAAGCGGTGGGATAGCAGAGGGAACCTTTGCTTTTTCACAGCAGGTCGAGCTCTTGCAGGTTTGAGCCCTCGACAGGTGTTTCCTCAGTCGGCTGCACGCAGTTGGAGTTGTCCAGCGCCATCCAGCTCGAAGTACGAAGCATCGAGCATGCAAAGCAGGAACCTCATAGGAATTTCATTTCCAGAGCTTAAACCAGAAATCAGCCACCCCTTTGAGCTCTAAAATGAATCTTGGGCTGTGAGTCTCGGCATAGCCTTGGCTTCAGACTCCCTCAACGGGTCCCCATCAGAGAGCGCCGCCTGGCGGCTCCTTGCAAAATTACATTCCTCACTCCAAGCATCAAGAGGAACAGTCCGTGACCCTCAGATCCGCACCGGGCCATGCGCTGCCACCAGCTGTCAAACATGACCTGACCACACTTTTTCAGCTCTGCGGCTCCCTCGACAACTGTGTCAAATTCCTGTTTACAGGGCATCCTCAACCTGGGCAATGTTCCTTGAAGGCGCAAGCAGGACAAGGCACTATGTGAATCCTGCAACAAGCTCTTACGCTGCCTCTGCTTTTCCGCATGCAGACACGCAAATGTTTGGGAGCAAATGCTCGGGTCTGGTGACCGACCACGCGCAGAAAGCGTCATTGGCCACAGTGCATAGGACGTAAACAAATTGAGCGAGAGGTAGGGCAGGTAAGGTGACATACGTACTCTGTACGGCATGTACTTTCAACCTGCCGGGACCTGCTATGATCTCGCTGAACGGGCAATGAGCAAGACGTGCCAACAAGGAACACTTCAAGCTGAGTAGCTTCATGTCGACCATCACCGCGTGTGCCTGCAAGCTACCTTTAACCTATAGCACGCCAAGTACTTGCCCGTGCAAAATTTATCTCCAGATCTTCACAGTCATCACTGCATTGCAGCAAAGTACTGTCAACCCGAACAAAATGCAAGCCAAGGCAGGGGTCATGAACTTGTGTTTCTTAGAACATTAGTTATTGCCAGAAACCTGGCACATGCTCGTACACTTCCTTCAAGCAAGGCCCGCTGCTTCATATTGTGACTGTTGTGCTGCAATGTGAAGATTCTTGTGAAGATGCATTAATTAACTCGGCTCGAAGCACGCGACACTGGCAGGGATGTAGCAACATTCTCACCCCGACATCGTCGCGAGAGTTGTCGCTATAGCAACAGCTGTGTTCAGAAGTGGTGCATGTCAACTTTGTAAATATGTTCCCCTTTTCTGCTGCTCCCATGCTCCGGCCGTTTAAAAGAACAAACATAAAGATCAAGGATCCGAACAGCGTCCGCTCAACCCAAAAGGCGGTGGCAACGCAGCAAGTGAACCATACTTTCATGCACACTCGAAGATGCGTGCCTTCCACTTGTTCGACCTCGTCTGCCAGCTAGTTGTCTCTGTTGAGGAGTCCACCAAGTGTGGACTTCGCTTCAAAAGAGACTTTCAATGCTGTGTTTTCAATATATCTGTGAACTGCATCTGCATAGTTCGTGCTGACAGCCAGGTAAATTCCTTGGGAACACCAAACCTTGCTTAGACAAGCAGGCATCTTTCTGATGCAACTGCTGCCGCTGAGAACTTGGAAAGACGGTGCTACCGTCAGATCCGTCAGAACATAGTTTATGCTTTGAGGCATTCTTGCGAAACTGCCGGGTTAACCCCTGACAGGTCCGCCCCCACTAGGCATTAAAGACCGTGTGGCCTTCTTGACTTCAAGGCCAATGCCCTAGTGCACTCACATTGGCACTATTGGTCACGAAGCTCTTTATCAAAATAAGTTTTGCTCAGATCGGCAGGTAACCTCGGTCAATGTGGGACACGCATGGCGCAAACTTGTGCTCGAGATGGTTGCCATTTCCCCATGCAGATTCAGTCGAGGAGCAAATCCTGAAAATTTGCGCCAGTCTCAGACATTCGGTGCGGAAGGAATATTTGAGGTCGCACATTGGCATTCGGCTCGAAGATGAAGTCCTCATGAGCGCCATGGACTCTAGACCCCTCAGGCCAGGCCAAGTTGCTGCATGCTTGCAGACCAGGTGCCGAATCGCTGTACTGCCGCATGAAGTTTTTCCAGCCCTGCAACAAGCAGCAGCAGAAAAAGCAACCAAAGTCTAATTTTCACTTCGTGGCCCTTCCTGTATTCGAGCAAAGTGTAAATGCAGCTGCCGCTTTCGGCGTAGCGTGCCCAAAAGCTCCCCCAACTTGGGCAAACATCCTGAGCATGGCACGGCTAGCTACGTTCGCCCACGCAGCTGTCTGGTCGTTATGGAGTGCTAAGCGAGCGGCGCAAGAGTGTGACGATCACACATGGCTCAGACACCTCCAGGAAGACCTCAGCTTGCCAACTAGCACTCCCAGTGGAAAGCAGCTGGGACAGTGGTCATCACCAAGCCCCTGAGAAGACATGAATTTCCAGAACGAAGTTGGCTTGTGGCAAACCATGCCAAGACACATATCCGAAATGCCGCTTGCGACTCTTGTCAATGGGCATGTAGAAGAAACGCAGCCTGAACAAAGCGAATTGCTTTGGAGCAGGCGCTGGCTTGGTGCACATCTCACATCCATGGTTGCAGCCACAGCCACGTGTGTAAAACATCTATCTCGCCCAGCTTCTCAAGAAAGAGGACAGCCTCAGCGTTTTGCCAATGCAACGTCGCCAGGATGCAGAGGTGACTCTAACAGACTAAATGTCTACCTACACATACGTATGCACGGTGCAGAGTAAGGAGGAGGGATGAGAGACAGAGAGAGAGAGAGTGAGAGAGAGAGAGAAAAAAAAAACATGTGTACATATGGTTGCGCGCTGGCGGGCGCTCCCCCTTCCTGCCCTGTGGTGTGGTCAGGGTTGGGGATGGGGGCGCAGGACACTCGCCACACAACCACATATCCATACCGAAAGAGATAGAAGAAGCAGCGCCCGAGCGGGCAGTCAGGCTGGGAGAAGTGCAGGGCAACTGGTTGAGGAAATGCGGCTTAGATGCGTCGCAGTTCTTCGGCACCTGCCCGATCATCAAGGAACATCGAGTTTCCTGCAAAGCAAGAGGGCAGGATGTACACACCGTGAGGCTTGCCCGCAGTGCCTACACCCGAGGCCTGTCGACAACACTGCTTGTTTCAGCCCTGTCGCCTGCCCGTTGAGGAGCCGCTCCTCGTCAATTTCCAGAGAACTCCGGACCTGCCAGGCCAAGCTGCGGAGCAGCGATATCGCGGCTCTACAGCCCATGCCAGGACCTCCTGCACATCTGACGGGGCCATAATATGCCCAGGCTCTCGACAGCCGCAACCTCAAGGCAACGCGCTTTGCCAAGGTTGTTTCCAAAGTCTTGCTTGGCAACTTCATATACAGTCATACAGCTGAGCTGCCTTGAGTAATGCGTACGTCCTGGGACTCCGCTGTTAACCTGTTCTGGCACATCTAGACGTGCTTCTTTTGCAGAGACAAGGGCAATCTACCAAAACCGAGGAGAGGCGGGGGGATGAAATGAATTTTTGCACCTGCCACACCCGTGTTCTGATTGTTTCTGGGAGTATGCTGTATATACCGGACGAGCAAATACTGCACAGCGACGATGCCCAAACAGCAGGTTTTAATTGACCTTTTAATTAACCCCCAAATGCTCATAAACACGGATGGGTTGTCACATGTTTTATGAGTTAGAGACTTCCTGCAACAGTATTGCCCTTTGTTGGGACCAGAATAACCGCTGTTTTGGGGAGGAATGGCCGCTATCTTGGGGAGAAAAACGCCGCTGCGTTGGCAAAAATGCCAACGTGTTGGGAAAAAAACGCTATTTTGGCAAGACATACGTCGCTGCTTTGGGGAAAAAACTATTTTGGGAAAACGCCGCTATTTTGGAAGAAAAACTCCGCTAAAATGGAAACAGTGCATATTTGTGGTCGAAAACGAAAGCCGCTGTATTGAGGAAAAAAGGCATATTTTTGGTCAGAAGAACGCCGCCATTTTGAGAAGCAAAGCCGCTACTTTGGGCGGGAATAGCGGCATTTTTCCCAAAATAGCAGCGTTGTTCTACCCAAAATTGCGGCTATTCCTCCCCAAGCTAGCGGCCTTTTTTTCTTCCCAAAATAACGGCGCTTTTTGCCAAAATTGTGGCGTTTTTCTATCCAAAATGGCGGCTATTCCATCCCAAAATAGCAGCATTTTTCTCCCCAAAATGATGGCGACGTTTCCCAAAATTGCGGAAAACAGCTGCGTTTTTCCTACAATAGCGTGTGGATTTTTTCTAAAATAATCGCAAAATGGCGACGTCTTTCTCCACAAAATAGCGGCAACCGATGCCAACACACACGGTTTAAAGAAGCCCCCCCCTTTACTGTTGGAAGCAGCCCCTAATTTATTTATAAGCTTGCATTTGCAGCGCCCAAAGCTTCCCACCAAAGCTTGGCACATTTAACCGCACCACACGTAGCTTCTGCAGCGTGGCACCTCCAAAGGACTCCATGGTGATTCAGGTAGTTTTGAAGTGTAGCAGCGGCTTGATCTGCAAAGAAGCGGACGCGGACGGCGCCTGGAGGTAGAAAGGACGGCCCAAACACGAGGTCACAGAAAACATTGTTTGAATCCTTGCCTGTGACCTTCAGGCGAGAGAGGTCGAGCTGCGCTACCTCGCCAAATAAGCCGAAGATTCTGGCGCATTCCTGGACGTGCCGTTCACAACAGGGTATCTCTCATGTCCATGTGCGTACACGCTCCCAACTTGCCTTTTGTAAGTACAGAACCTTAGGCCCCTTCAGTCTAAAAGCTTGTAGTTGCAGGTTCAGCTCTCTACTAGGAAGAAGTGCAACCGCTTAGTCAAGCCCTTTGGCTCCGAAACGGCGACGTCAAAACTCAAAGTTCAAACATGACACGAGCATGGAAAACGACGTCAAAAGTCGAACTAGGCGGCTTAGCTTGCACAAATAATAGCAAAAATAGCTAAAACGCCCTGCACGAAAATGCTCCCCTCGCCGTGTGCGCCCCTTTCAACGCAATCATGCGCAAAGCTGGTATCGGTCATTGTAAGCTTGCAGCGCATCAATAGCCTGTAGGTACAGATTCAGCGGGCAACCAATAAGTCAAAGCCATTCAAGCCCTCTTGTTCCGAAACGGCGGCTTTGGAACTCAAGTTCAAACATGAAGCTGACAAGGCTACCGCTTAGATTGATCTTGCACAAGCAGTAGCAAAGTGCCAAACTGCTTGGAGTGCGAAAACAAAGTTGTCACCCAAGCAAAACACCAAGAATGGGCTGACCACGGCCACCTCACACTGCTGGTTGGCCGGGGGTTCACCAAGCTTCTTGCAGGAAGAATCATTATCCGGCTTGCATTCTCCGACATAAGTGAGCTAAATTTCAGGTTTCTAAACCAACGCGCTCGGGGGTCTCTGGCTACGCTGCTGTCCTGCATGGTGACTTTCTCTGCTAGCGCAGGTTCGAGCTGAACTGCCACCTCACAGTCACCTGCAACTGAAGGCTGCAGGACTCCATGTGCCCGCACGTCTGCGCATTGCAGCAATCAGTACAACAAAGCTGTGAATCCCTGCAAGCCACCTGTTGCGGCTGGGAGTGCCAGGCGGCCATACTGGCCATGTCTCTCCATGAAACATTGGGTTTATCAATCTCGCCGTGCGCAAATCTTGCAATGTGTAATTTGCAGGTTTTGAGCTGCTGTTCCATTGCTAGGAGCTAGCCCATGACTATTTGACTGTGAGCATCTACATGTCCCAATGAACTTGACAAACCGACGTGGCTAAGTGCATGCTCTCCCTCCGTTCCGCCGCAGCTTCTTTCCTGAGGAGAGCCTTGTGTTGCCTGACGGAAGATATTTAACACATAAAGGATCATAAACGCGACCGCTTGGGAATTAAGTACTGGTGTGTTAAGGAGCTGCGGCGGATTCATGGAGCCGTGGCCTGAGAGCTGCACACCTCTACCGGTGAGACAGCTAATTTTTAGATAAACTATGAGCCGCCAAAGCTGTGCAAAAGGTGACGTTAGAAGGCCAAAGTCTAAGCCACGCATCCAAAGCAAGTCCTCAGGTGCTGTATGTACGTCGCAAATCGTTGCATGTTCTTGCCTGCCTGAATATCCAAGTCGGAGAACTCTACCTTAGCAAGGCCGTCTGAATCGAGCAGATGCTTCAAGAGCACTCTATAGGCTCCAGCGTTCAGATCACAACTGACGCAAATGATACCGTTTGCAGTTTGAGTCATAGACCACGCTTCGCACAAAGCTTGTTGTATCCATGGCATGTACTCGGGCACCGCCACGGAAGGGCACGTCCTGCCAGCTAGTGTATGTCTGTAAAGGTCAGGAGCATAGAAGCGAAGAAGTCTGATTGACAGTGCGACCCGCAGGATCCTGAATTGAGAAAGACGCATGCCTCCAAACATCACATGTAAAAACAATCAACAGCATGTATGAGAAAGTACTTGAACCTTGTGCCTGACACTCAGCTTTTTGTTTGTAGAACGAACATTTGAAAATCTGGTGCAATGATGGAATTTTCCTACAACCTTGATCCAGACGTAATCTTCCGAAAGCCCTTTGGCAAAAAAAGTGCTCTACAGACAGGCTTACCGTTTGCTGCAAGCTGATTCATACAACCCACTCAAGCAAGTCGTGTAACAAATTTGGCCTCTACCCAGAGTCGCAGTATCCGGTCTCCCAGCCGCCGTTTGCGCTCCACGACCACTTCTGAGGGGGCCACGACCTGGCAACTGGCATCTGAAAGTTGCATGCTTGCCTTGCAAAAGTCCCGTGAACACTGGTGCGGCCAGAAAACATCTTACAATTCCAGTTGCGTCTTCTGACTTCTGCTTCTCTCATCGCTTTTGTTCTCGAGTCTACTTGGGGAAGGTACGGTGCCAACTGACAGGAAGTGGGGGCTCGCATGCTTGTTGCCTATAAAAAGCCGGACGCGGCTTCAAGGTCCGCTGACGGTTGCTTTCATGCTTCCTCAGCGCCAGTAGAACGTTCCTCCACTTCTGACCTACTCGGCTTACGGTACTTGGGTGCACAGAGAAGCTTTTTGGCAAGAGCAACTGACACGGAGCTATGCCAGAACATCCCTCACTTCTACAGCTTGCGTACCTCGGGTGGATCGTTGATCTGAGGCCCCCAGGCCATGGTCGGAGGCCTGCTGCACGGCACGGCTGATGACTTCGCAGGGAGCTTTCAGGGCAGCTTTGCAGCTGTCAGAAATTTCAGGACCTTGGCGGTGGTGGCACGCCAGCAGCCGCAGTTGCGAAGCGTTGCCTCGGGAACAAAGGGCACTTGATCTGCTGGATGTTCAGGATGTGCTAAGAAGTTGTTCATGGTTTCTTACATTCAATCATCTTTTTGGTTCTCAGGCTTGTACTGCGCTTCCAGGAGCTTCTCTTGGAGCTCTTGCACCTGACGCTAGGCGAAAATCAAGCGTGCACCATGCTGCAGAGTCTTAAGCCTCCCGTGAAAGCTTTCAACATTTGAAAGCGTTAGAGCAACAGAACAACAAAATAGTAGCAAAAGAGACCCGACTTTTTCATGGCGCAGATGCATGAAACTTTGGCATTGAAGGCGTCTTCCGGAGTCATGCCATACTTCTGACTGAAGCAGCAAACCATTGGCTGTGCAAATTAGTGTATGTACAGTGGACTGCTTCTAGAAATGGCCAAGCTAACACAGCAGCTCAGCCTGCTTTCGCCCGCCGCCTGATTGCAATTTGACTTTCCCCTGAACTTCATTGAACTGCGACCATCTGCAGCTTCATGATCGCTTCCGCTTCATGTCAAAAACGACACACCAACATACTGGACACTAGTTCAGGAAAAAGATTCATAGCTGGGCGGCGGCACATTGGAGACGCGCTCTGTTTCACGCGTCGTGTAGCATCCAGAAGACGTGCCGAGAGCACGGAACGGTCTGCGCCGTCCAGCATTGAGCGATACAGTTTGCCCTGATTTCTTAGCGCCGAGTAAAAGCGGCAGGCCTATCCGCGTGACAGGTTTTGGCGCTCAGAGCTTGAGATAGAGTTCAACTATCTATTCCTGCAATTGCATCCTCCTCTTGCGGAATTTGAAGCTCCTCTGGCTGGCGACTCTTGCCAACTATTTTGCAAAATAAAAAAAATGTCTCAGATCAGGGGAACGCTCTATCATGATCGCAGGAATGAAGCAGTTGCGTTTCCCCTCCATACCAAGTGAAACAGCTTCTTGCAGTACTTCCAGAACATTACCACTTGGAGAAAGATCAATGTCAGGAAGTGAGCACGCAACAGGACCAACGTGCCGTGCAGGCAGAGTCTCTTTCAAGGATTGTTCCAACTAAAAAGGTGCTGTCGTTTGCAGGTTTTCGAGTTTAGAAAATTCGTCGCCCTTTTCGGCGAGTGCTTCCCAGTTTACAATCATGGACATCCTGAGTGGCGCATAAGACGAAACAGCATCATGTGAGCAGTAGCAGTAGCCTGCACAGTCCTCCGTCACAACTTGGCTTTTCTCTGCTTGGCTCGCGAATGGGTGTGAGACAAATGGACAGGACGAACATTTGAGAACGCTTGTCCTGTAAAAAGCTACTGCTCTCAGTCTCATCAGCCACAGCAGTGCTGTTCTCCTGAACTCGTCGTGAGGCCGAACAGAATCTTGACATCTGAAACGGTCTGGGACATGTGCCCATATGGCCATGGTGTCACGGGCTACATGATATTACGGCATTCCATCATGGTATGACCGGCTCCAGGGTAGACCAGTCTAGGCAGGATGCAGCGCAAAGGCCAGGGGAGGTCCTAGCTGGGATCTTTGCCAACTTCCTCCAGGAGCTTCTTGCGCGCCGCAATGTCGTCTTCCTGAAGCACCACGTAGAGACTCAAACTAGACCCAGACAACCTATTTCAGAGGATACTGGATACCTGGCCAAACCCAAAGAAGGCTTGGAACCTAGCATGCCCGTGATGCTCAGATGGATCCTTTCGGTTTGGCTTCTCGAGCCCTCTTCAGCTGACGAACCAATGAGACAGGGTGCTGAGACTCCTCGGACCTCCACCTCTGCACCCTCTGGAGGTGCGCTCGAATTCATTTTCCAGCACACGGCCACTGTGTCGCAGAGCCTGCTGAAAGCTCATGGCTGTGCTGTCCCACACAAATTGGTTGCTAGCCTACCACACGCTTGCCTGTTATCCGGCTTCACAGCACACTGACATGCACTGACACCACAGTTATCCACAATCTGTTTCGACTGCATCACAAGCTCCCTTGGTACCGGTCCAGGACTGCGCCTGTGAAAAACGGGGTAGTCCACGTAGCGATCACGACCGTCCCCAAACCGGGACTGGTAGCCGTGCTTTTCAAATGGAGCCACATCCTTAAAGAAATCGCCACCGTGCTGGCGGCTGAGGTCGAACTCTAGTTCTGATCTGATTTATGTTCATCAAGGAGCAAACCACCACACCTCCGGCTGCAATTCTCGGTCCTGCCATTTTGGCTTGCCTTAAGGCAGCCCACTGCCAAAGCAACAGCCCAGCAAAACCTCATACAATCTCCAGAATGCGTCTGCGCGGCAGTTGTAGAGGTTCCAGCTCAAGCACTGAGCTGACGTCACTACAACAACCTCAGCCAGCAAGAAGCTTGCAAGGGTACTTGACTTGCGCATAATTGCGCTAACTAAGCTGGCAAGGTCCAAGCGGCTAGCTGTCCATTTTCTGTGCAAACATGGGCTGCGCTCTCCAGAAAGGCTTGGATATAGTAATACATCATTGTGGAGATACCTTGGTTGGTGTGTCCAATGCAGAGCTGGTCACCTCCTGTTAAGGAACATTCCGCGACATGATCCGCAAGCAAGAGGCTGGCGGGTGGACGCCATTGCCTGTCCGGAACATAGGGCATCATCCAGAAGATCGTGTCGAAGCCTGGGCAAAGCGGTGAAGTGCAGTCAAGTGTCGCAGCTAGATGAATGGAAGATAGAATTCCATCTGAGAAAAGGAAATACAGACAAAAAACAAGTTGTCAATTCAAGTGCAGTTGTTCTACACATGTCAGCCTCCACCGCTGAGTGGGCTTCCCCGTGGTGCATTCCAGACTAAATAGCAGGAGTTCAAGTATGTGGAAAACCTGTACTGACCAGCACAATTATGGAGCATACATGCATCCCGTGGAAAGGACAATTTAGTCCCGGCAAAGCCCAACCAGGCCGCTGTTGTGAGGGCATTTGGCTTTCTCCAACGTCTGTTGGAGCTTCACACCATTGACTTCATCTGCACACCAGACCTCAACGTCAAAAGCAGGTCTCAGATTCCCTGCCATAAACTTATGGATTCCAAGTGTCAAATCTCGACTTGCACGCGAAGATAGCAAATCAAAGCTACTTGTATCAAATGGAGCATGCGCTTTGCAGACTTCCAATGCTTGGCAGCAATCTCGGCAGCATGCTCGGCAGCACGCTTGGCATGTGAACAATTCAACATACTGCAACTGAGCTGCGCCCTTGGATCCTTAGATGAGGAGGGTTCATATCTGGGAGGAAAAGATTGTGCCTAGCGGCCTAGCATGCAACCTCCGACCTTTATCAGAAAAGTGAATTCTGAGCGTCGCAAAAGCTTGAGATTCTCGACCAAATCCAGCTCAAGCTTTTTCTCGAGGGTTCCTGTAATGACAGATCGTTGCAAGGGCTCTACTAGATTCAGGCAACCAAATTTGCTCTAGCCCTCCATGCATTGCGCACAAGGCACTTGGCCATCTCAGCTCGGTTGAACACCACGCCTGCCAGCTTGACGAAACGGCACGGACTCCAAACGAGAAAAACTTGTCGCGCCCGCCGGCTTTGTCAACACTCACTCCGCAGAGCAGCACCACGCAGCCTTGTTCAGGCTGAAGGGATGTTGAGTCTCCTGACTGGACGATGGCTGATGCTTGTGGGCTCATGCACATATGACTTTTACGGAAGACTTGAGGAAAGGGAAGCTTCCCTCACAATGGGGACCACAGGCAAAACCCAAGGCAGCTGTCCTCTGCAAAAGGGATGACCCCAGCTAGTCGGCCTTGCCACCAGATGCCAATGCTGCATTGAGCAAGTACAACTTACCTCAAGGCGTCATCAAACACTGGTATTTTCTTGCCCACACTAGCCTGCGGCCAGCGAGAAGGAATGAGTGCCTCAACAGACAACTGCGCTCTTTTGCTTGAGAAGGTCATGAAAAGCCCTTCTTTCAACTGAGGTTGTGGCACTCACCTACCCATAGCACATCCTTGAAACTGTCGGGGCCCTGCGGCACAAGAATTGGACAAGATCGAGGCTGGCTGGAGAACCATCTGCAAACAGGGTTGTGCAGTCTATCCGTTTGCATCCTCATCCGAGCCAATGCTTTGCCCTAAGCCCGGTTTGCTGAGAAACCATGACATTCCTTGCTCCCTCAGAAGCTGCAACTTCCTCTGCTTACTGGTAGTTCGTTTCCATGATCGCGTTTGAATTGCCGCATGCAAGTTTCCCTCGCTATATATTGCAGTGGACTGTGGATGCGTTTCCGCTGTGCAATCAGCATCTGCCAGACCAATTGGTTCAATCCCGAAAGGAGAGCCACCTTTTCCAAGATCCTGAGGCCAGAGAGCAGCAGCTACAGCAGCAACAAGCGCTGTAGGACACGTCTAACGCGATTTTCACAAGCTTTATTCCTTATCTGCCTTTGGCACAGTGCTGTGCGCGAATCGGCGCCTAGATTCGCATGAATCATCAAGTGAAGTGCATCGCCAGAGACTGAGACAAGTCATGGCGATCAAAAGGAAGCTTGTTCTGCAAGCCATTTCCAATGCTGTGAGCTACGAAGAAGGACATGCAAAACCTGCAGCACATGCCCTCATGTTTGTGCATCCGGGGGAGCAAAGAAATGCTGTAATGCTTGGACAACTGACTGCAGCTTGGAACAGGCAACTTAAAGCAGGTTATCATTGGATGCAGGTACCTCCAGTGTAAAATCGGATGAAAACATGGACAGTCGATTTTTCAATCAAACAAGCCCTGCAGAAAGGCTAGGCGGTTGTGGAGGGCAGACAAACAAGATGCCTGTACGCACATAAGCTGGCCTGACCCAACTTTCGCAGACTCCCGCCCCAAGCTTCTAGGCAAGAGCAGCACTGATAGCATGCTGGTGCCGATGCCATAAGATGCCCACGGATTTTTGGAGGGGAGGCGTGGACGGGCCGCAGGTCCGCGCCCCGCAGGCGCAGGCCGCAGGCCGCGCGCTGTGGGCCGTGGCCCGTGGGCCGCGGGCCGTGAGCCTCGAGCCTCGGGCTGTGGGCCGCGGGCCGCTGGCCGCAGCGCTGATGTGTGGATCCTGCGAGTTCTGCTTGGGAGCGCTTGCGCGTGGAGCGTCTTGAGACTTGTGCTTGGAGTCGACGACCCTGTCGCTCTTCTCAGCGGTTAGGAGCGCTGGCGCATGGAGCATCCTAAGAATTCTGTTTGAAATCGACGACCCTCTCGTCGTTGATTTGGGCGTGTGGCAGCTCTGGCGCGTGGAGCGTGCTGCGAAGTCTGCTTGGAATCGACGACCCTCTCGCTTTTGTGGGCGCGTGGCAGCGCCGGCGCGCGGAGTGCCCTGCGAAGTCCGTTGGGAATCGACGACCCTCTCATGGTTTTGGGTGCGTGGTAGCGCTGGCGCGTGGAGCGTCACCGGTCAGGACACCGACACCGTGCAAATACACCACAGCAACACCGCGCCAGTACTTCCCAGCACATACACCGCACCAAGTACACCACAGCACGTAAACCGCCCACATACAGCACAGCACCTACACCGCTCACATAGGACGCCTGCACCACGCACATACACAACAGCAACTACACCGCACCGGTGCACCACGGCGCCTACACTGCCCTCTACAGCACCTACACCGCTGACATACACCTACACTGCGAACATCCACCACAGCAGCGACATCGCGCCAATACTTCGCGGCGCCTATAACGCCTACACCGCACCACGTCAACACAGCACCTGCACCGCCCACATACACCACAGCACCTGCAACGCACCACGACCGCAGCGCCTGAACGAGGCCAAATACGCGCCCCTTGCTATAACGTTGAACTGATACTAGTTTGGAGCTTCAGGCAAGAAATCAGATGATTTTGACCGGGGTACAAGTTTTCCCAAAAACCATTTCGCAAGCGGCCCGATCTCACGGGCTTGGATCACGCAGGCTTTCGGCTGCAGAGGTGCCAGGCTGTATGAAGAGATGACGTGCCATGGGTTGGACACAAAGTCACACACGCTCACACGCATCGACGTATTCCCACGTGGCTTGTCCAACAATGCTGAGCATGCGCAGTGTTTTGTGAGATGTGATATGCCGCGGGCTGGCAGGTGCACAGCCAAAGAGGCGCCTCTGGAGCGGAAGATTGGCGGGCAAGCGAAAGGCTCCCTGGCGCAATCCCTCCGCACGGTCAGTATTTGCGGACTTCCAGCCAGAGATCCGGTGATTTTACCCGGGGTGCGAGTTTTCAACGATGCCACTCCTCCAGAGGTGCCACATTCCTGAATGGTTTGCATATGGGGCGGCTGCACCCCCCGAAAACCACCCCGCTGTATTTTGACATGAACCCGCATCATGTCCAATAGTAAATCCTTTTCAACAAATGCCATTCCTCAAGAAGTGCTACATCTCTCAATGGTTTTCAATTGGGGGGCTGCGCCCCACGAACCCCCCCTCCCAACCCACCCGCTGCTTTTAACATGAACCCGCATCATGTCCAATAGTGAATCCTCATCAACAAATGCCACGCCCCAAGAAGCGTGAGGTTCCTCAATGGTTTGCTGCTTTTTAAAAAACAAAAAGCCCAAACCCTAAAACATAAGCAAACCCTAAACAAACCTGAAAGGAAACCCTGAACAATAAACCCTTAACAAACCCCAAACCCTAACTCCCAAACAAACCCCAAACCCTAACTCCCAAACAAACCCCAAACCCTAAACCCTAAACAAACCCCAAACCATAAACCCTGAACAAACACCAAACAAACGCTAAACCGTAAACCCTAAACAAAGCACAAACCCTAAGTCTTACGTAAACAAAGCCCAAACCTAAACAAACCCCAAACCCTACCCCCTTAACAAACCCAAAACCTTAAACAGTAAACAAACCCCAAACCCTACACCTTAAGCAAACCCCAAGCCCTACCCCCTTAACAAGCCCCAAACCCTAAACCCTCAACAAACCCCAAACCATAAACCCTGAACAAACCCCAAGCCCTAAAAAAACAACAAGCCCAAGACCCTGAACAAACCCCAAACCCTAAACCCTTAACAAACCACGAACCCTAAACCCTGCACAAACCCTAAGCCCTAAGCAAACCGCAAACCCTAAACCCTTAACAAACCCCAAACCTAAACCATAAAAGACCTCAAACTCTAAACCCTAAACAAACCCCAAACCTGAACCCTAAACAAACCCCAAACCTTGAACCCTGAACAAACTCCAAATCCTGAACCCTAAACAAACCCCAAACCCTAAACCCTTAACAAACCCCAAACCCTAAACCCTTAACAAACCCCAAACCTAAACCATAAACAAACCCTAAACAAACCCCAAACCCTAAACCCTAAACAAGCCCCAACCCCTAGACCATAAACAAACCCCAAACCCTGAACCCTAAACAAACCCCAAACCCTAAACCATAAACAAGCCCCAAACCGAAAACCCTGAACAAAACCTGAGCCCTACCCCCTAACAAACCCAAAACCCTAAACCCTAAACAAACCCCAAACCCCGGACCCTAAATCCTAAACAAAACTCGTGTCTGCACCCAACCAGAATTGTGTAGTGAAGTTTGGGCAGAAAAAACTCGAATTCTTGACTTTGTGGAATCAATCCCCAGAATTGCAATCAAATGCATGCCCGTGACAGGCTCCCGATAGCAACCTTGCCCTCACAAAGAATTCAGGGCGTGAATGAAACAAGTTATCAATGCTATGCGATTGAAACACGCGCAATGCTGACCAAACTTTTCAATTGCGAAAACAATCCTTGCAAGGGATGGCCCCAGCATGCTTGCAAGCCCGCGTGTACATTGCCATCATCATCAACGCTACAACCACTTTTCGACACATCCGTGGAATTTGCGCGTGGAACTTGAATTTCAAGCATGGAATTTGAACTTTCGGCATTGTTGGGGATGTGCACGTGGAGCCTGTGAAGTTCGCCGTAAAGTTTGCGTGGAATGCTCTAAAGAGGAAAAGTAGTCTTGACAAAATTTCACGCACTCTCCACGACAAATTTCACGGGACTCCTTTGAATGTTTCAAGTCAAACTTCACCGAACGATTCCCCACAAGTGCTCTAATCAAACTTCTGCTTCCCAGCCACAAGCGGCCAAGGTGGAAGTTACCTGTTGAAGCGGCAGCCACGCATCTGAACTGTGATCTCATTGAGAAAGCTTCTGCAGCGTGGGTGGATGGTTTTGCAACCCTTGCTCCAAGGTCGACCTCCAAGCTCTGCAAACAGGTTCGTTCGGACACCATGTTCCGCGGCAATCGCAGGGAAATCCTTGTGAAGCCAAATAACTTGTCAGCAGTGGCGCCGGCTCTTGCCGACCCTACAAGTCATCATCATAGCTTTCTTACTGACACCCCCCTAGGCCCCACCCCAAATCAAATCTTCTTGAGGCCATGTGGAGCTCAAGAGCAGCCGAGGAACGAAGAGCAGCATTGAAGCTCAACGATGCTTTTTGAAACGTAATGATTCTCTTTAAGTTTCTTTGTCTTTCTTTGGGTCTCTGATCCTATCGTCATTCTGCTGCTTTGCGATCATAAGGCTCCATGGGTCCATGGGACATAAAATGAGGTGTTAGCAAGGCAAACACTGCAAAGTCTTTGGTGCTTCTTGAAGGGAAGACGCCATGGCCCATGCTTCTGCTTCTGGTCCCGTTGAGCAAGACCTGCGTTTCTCTCAAGCAGTTAAATTGTTGGACATGAGGTTAGCTTCATGTTGCCCATGCATCCAGGGCTGTTCTTTTCCAAGGTTCCTTCCGTGTTCAAGAAGATGGTAGTCGTTATGTGGAGATATTCGCTGGAGATCCTTCTGCAGGGAAGCAATGCCAGTGGAAGGTAGCAACGCTCATGACAAATTTTTTCGACAAGAAGCAGACGAACACTAGGTTCAAGCAACAGTTTGGAGCAATTGCCGATTGCCATATGCAGTTGTGGCCGGGTCAGAAAGTAGTTCCTCTTCCAGAGGAGGGGGAAGACTTCGCAAGCAAGAAGAAAGTGGCCCTC